GTGTCTAAACATATTCAACTATTGTTCGCTGGTTGATTTGATTATTGAACCAGATAGGCTCATTTTCATATGCTCTTTTTGGTTGATTTGACCCATAAATTTTTTTGAGTGTATTAGCTAGCATATTTCTGTGAGGCGATCAAAAGTCATCTGTGATTGTCCATTTGTCAGCCAGGTCCCAGTGAGGGAGACAATTTGTTAAGGACAGCCGGACAGACAACCGCACAATAACTTGTCTGGTCCGACGATTTATTTGTTCATTAGTTGGACACGTCGAACGATTGTTTCGACGTCTATCGATGGGGTTCCATTATGAGGTCACTATTTTTATCTTCAAAATGCTGACGTTTCTTGTAACCGCTAAGAAATTGGTGATAACTTTCGATACTTGATATCGATGTCAGTCTGAATGAAGATAATAATTAACCAATACCAAGCTCGACCTAAAATGTGCCAGTAGTAATACCGAGATGGCTTATTACTGCAATAATTACTTCATCAATATAGGCACCAGTATAGCATCAGTTTACCCCAAAAAATTGAGATAGGAGTTCCACAAGGTACAATCCTGGGACCAATTCTTTTCATAACATATATAAACTCTCTACTCAACATGAATGTCGAAGGAAAAATAATATTTTATGCAGATGACACAGCTGTCATATTCTCTGGAGAAAACTGGGAAGAAGTCAAAAATCAAGTAAAAGAAGGTATGAAAGCGATGGGTATTTGTATATTGCATATTTTGTGAAATTTGTATATTTGTATATTGCGATAATTGTAATTGATTGATTGTAATTGATTTTAATTGTAATTGATTGTAAAATGAAACACAATAATTGATTCTGGCAAGAAAGTGGTATTGCATCTTTTTTTATGTATAAATGTAATTTGTATTGCAAATAAACACATATTATTATATTATTATTATCTATAGATGTGTATCAGTCTCAATGGATTAGAAGCTCTTTGATTAATTATTCTATGATATCTGGCTGTCCTATCGGAGTTCAGAATGCTATTGATTCTCGAAGTTTTTAACATTATGCCCAAGAAAACTTCTGACAACTAGCTCTTTCAGAGTTATGTCCTAGTTAAGATTCAGGTTACCTACATTCACGTGAACATTACCACAAAAAAAAACAAATACATAATTTTTATCATTATTTAAATTAATTTCTGCTGATATGTGTTTTAAAAATTGACGAAATACAAATTCCTCCGAGTTTGAGAAACAAATTGTATTACTTGAAAACCACACAAGCACTAGCGATGAATAATTGGATGATTTTTTTTCTGCTTCAGGTTCATATTTCTCATAGTGAATCCATGAAAGACCACCTTTATTTGGAAACTTTCGGAAATACCTTCTCGAAAAACTGGCTTAATATTTTCAATGACTCTCATAAACAATTTTGTTCTTCCTCAGTACTTTTAAAAAAGAATCCATGCTGTTCTCCCAGAATTATGTGTTTGGGGCTGTCGAAGATTAGATCGTATAATATGCCCTAGAGAATTGTACTAAAAATACAAAGTTTACTGATACCCATATATTCAGTCAATTAGTGACATTTCTTTTGTCTTCAGGATTCTTGTAAATTGGCACAAGAAGCGCAGTTTGCCATAGATCTGAGAATTTATATTTGATCAAGCTATTCTCCATATTTTTTTTATTGAGCAAGGCATGGCAACTATAATTTATTTTTCATGTATACGAAATAATACCTATCCAATTGATTCGAAATGTGAATGAATCAACTCAGGTTTGATAATGAATAAATATAAACACTTCACATACCCATTACCGAATTTCGATACGAATGCGTGAATAAACAGTGCGTTCGAAAGCTTCTCTGATCAATACGATTTGAGGATGTTCACGCGTGGTATAATGGGGTATAATAATGAGCATTTATTGTCACGCTTGATCGTTCATACAGAAACTGGATATTGCAGTAGGGGATGTTAATACGACAGTCTACATCACTTCGTTCAAACAAAATCGACACATTGAATTGAACTGAAAATAACATTTATTCGAAATAATAATCTCCGTCTGATCAGCTGGAAATCCCACTCATGAACGAATATGGAAAATGTTTCGGAAAGTAATGAGAACTAACCTCGACGGTTTAAATTCAGACTTTTTTTTATTGTACTATTCGCGGAACTCCAGTATGCATAATCCTTCATGAACATACATTTCGATCATTTATAATCCCAATAGATTTACTTCAAAACATTTTCGAAAACAACTTAATCTGAGGGATGAAAATACCAGGTGAAACGGCACTGATGATTTGTCGAAAATTATTACGTATTTACCAAATTGAACATCACTTTTATCTTGAATACTATGTCCAAATGAAAAGTAGTTCGCGAAACTAGAAGAAAACGCTTCTATAGATAGTCAAACTAAGAAAAAATATAGAATGAAATAATAAAAGTGTGTTGATAAATACACAACATAGAATATACTGATAACGGAGGTACTATAATACTTTCTATGTTGAGTATTTATCTACACAATTTCAATATTTTATTTTCAACTTCTTTTCAGTTTGCACATCTATAAAAGGCTAACTACGAAAGCGTGTTTTTTAGTATTTTTATAATTTGCGCTCCTGATGTCACCTTCCTTGAATTATGTAACCGCTTCCTCTCTGGAAACTTCATTTCATACTAGTACTTGATGCAATACACTAATGTCTCTGGATGTAACTATTCTCTACGAGTGTACTTGGTACAAGACACTGCCGTGTCTTTTCGAGGATAAGTGTGAAACTTTTGAATTTGATTCAACATTTTGAAGTGGGTCAAAATCAAGTTCGTGATTCCGCGTAACATGCAACCTACACACCAACAAACATACACATATACATACCAAGCTAATATATGAGAGTGTTAGAAATGAAGAACAATCATTAGAAATATCATATACAGGTTGCATTTTGTTCATGGGGAATATTATTACGGTGAAAAAAAGGGATCTCTATCATTAAGAACAAATGATCATGGTTGAAATTTGAAGAAAATACATCAACAAATCAAAATTAGCCGCACACATCCTTATATACAGCAAAAAATAGACAACATAATATGGTGGAATGAAATTATATTGAAATCATAGGAACATTTATCGAAAAAAATCTTTTCACTTTCTACATGATCGTTTGGAAATGATTATTGCATCTCTTTAGAATGAAATTCTACAGGATCATAATCAGAGCTGTGCAATTTTAGAAGAATTTCAAAAGAGCCTACCGTTTGTAAGGAACATTTTTCTCATTTTGTCAGGTAAGAGATATCGCATCTTCTCTTTTTTCCAACCCGTTTCGGAAATTTAATATAATGGAAACACATTAAAAATATGTCAAGTATTACGAATTATTAGGAATATAGGTACCAAACAATAACACAAAAAATGTTCTTTGTACTGTAGGTAGTCGTTATTACTATCATAGATCTAAATTGGGTTTAAAAACAGCTTCATGCTGAACCCCGCCTTTTCATCATCCAAGTTACCAATCTATCTCATTTAGTTTTATTGTTGTGTATTATCAGTAAACTTATAATGAATAAAGACATTATTATTATTATTATTACTCAATCCGAAAACGTTCATACATCTAAATTTTTTTCCTCCTTTTTTTAACAAGATGTCACTGATCTGATTTGTCCTTATTACAGGTATAAAATCCCAAACCCAGAAGTCTACTGAAATTACTATTATCTTGATGAAACTGTGTCTACACACACCTCATCCCTGGTCATTTTCAGACAGATTTCTCTACTTCGGCTGATGAAAAAAAAATCAGACATGAGAGTAAAATCGAATAGGTATCTTGACCAAACATTTTCTCTCGATTCCATCGGAATGAATGTTCGTCCGATTCGCAACAATTTCACAAATCATCCACACGTGATTCTGAAAGTCCCTTTCAGGGTGTAGTATACAGCATCCAATTGAATAAGTCCGAGATTTTGGATTCGAGGGAGCGCCGACACTAACGACTCTGGTCGACCGGAAATAAAACGGCAGCCATGTCACTTCCCGAGTAGAATAACGATGCGAACGCCCCAGCAGAGGTGTTCGAAAAATTGCAGTCAATGAAGAGAGTATTGGTCGCTATGATGGACAATGAAACATTTTATCGAAAAAAAAAAGATTGATGAATGTGATACGACCAGTCAACCAGAACGAAAGACCGATTATATAGTGATCAGCAACGAGTTTTTTCAAACTGACCTTGCATAGTTTCGTGCAAACTTTTTGATTTACTATTCTACTCTTGGTCTCGAGAATCAATCTGAATCGACCATTTTCACGGTTACTTCAATATTGCGGACTTGCTCTACCAATACAGAAGCCGAATTGACCCACACGTGACCAACCTTCCTCGATTTTAACTTTCAAAACGTCAATTATATTGGAAGCCAGAATGATGGATGCAGTGTGCGCCACTCTCACGAGCCGCACGTTTATTTTCTCAATCATGGAATACTCGTGATACTATTTTTCCTGGAAATATTCGTCGATTGACATACTCCAGCTTGCTGCGTCAATTTTGCACATGACAGCGAACGGCTCAAAAGTTTTGTATACATAATAACATAGTATCACTTGTGCTATTATATGAAAAAACTGATTTTCTATAAAACCTCCAGGGGAGGCGAGGTTCAGACATAATGCAGAAGACTAAGGAATAGGAATAATGAATAGCACTATAATTGGTTCAAAACGCGTTCAAGGTTAGAATTGACCAATAGCAGACCTGCATTTCTTATTTTTCATTCCTTATTCTCTATTCATCATTGTGTCACGAGCTTTGAGATATTAACTTCATTGACCAGACTGTAATGTTTCGTTTTGTTGAGCACAACTCCCAAAGTAACATTTGTAATGCATCATGAAGGTACGCTATTTTACTCATTTTATAATGAAGCTACATAATACTGGAATAAGTTCTGGAATTTTATTATTCTGAAGACCTTTCTCATCAGAATAGTATGAAACCTCGAAGCGCTATGTGCATTGTGTATAGCCAAATATTTTTTTCCACATTGGTGTGGTCGAACCTACCAGTATCGCTCTCTGTCGAAACACCCAGACTGTTCGAGTTGTCATTGATGAAGGCTTCCGCGGAATTGGTGAAGGTTTGTGGTGATAGGGTCAGATCTGGACCGCTCGAGGAGTCGAACAGATCGAAGGTGGCAGTGACCGCATCGCTTTCACCTGAAACAATAGAAATGATCGAGCAAATCATGGATATTTTATGTAGCAGTCATTCAATCAGCAGGCATGATCCATATATTCGTCACCTCAACAATCATACACTAACTTGTATCGAGACGATTCGAATGAATATTTTTGTGATGTCTCGAAACATGTTATTATCATTATCATCATTACTATGAAAAAGTTGTTCCATGTTATAGTTGTTATATTCATTCCAGTCACGACTCTGTGATCTCCAATGCCACGCAGAATCGTACTGGATAAAATCCAGTGAACACTCACCACAGACTGTGGAGTGAGTAATAACTGTGACCATAAACTATGTGCCATGAGTGAACGCAATGATCCGAGTATGACTACTTCCTGCATTCTACCAGCTAGAGTGTGTGTCATGTGACTCCTAGGGAGCCAATTATCAGGATGACCAGTTCCACAGAAGGATCTGTATAAAATCTGCAGAGTTCAAAGAGAAGATCGTGATTTTCAGTCCGTTTTTCCTTCTTCTCCAGAACGATGTTCGGTTCGGCTGGCACCGAAAACTCAATCGCGAACATCGCTTTGGTTCGATGGTCGAGCAGAACTACAATCAGGCTTGTTAGCCTGTATATGCCTGAGGGTGGGGAATGAGAAGTTCCAGTAAATTCGGCACCTCTCATTCTCCACGACGGACTCGATATCCCCCGATAAAGGCTGAGACTGCATACACCGTGCAAGAAGACAACAGGTGTTGAAGACCCTATCCTGGCATGCCATGATGAACCCCTCTGTTTCCAATTCAAGCCTGACTACAAGAAAGCAAAAGCCAGTTCATTGGATTAACTCTGGTCTCCAATGGTATTGTAGTAGACCGACTGCAAGGGATTATCCATTTGAAGATGCAGAAGCTTTCTCACTTCTGCAGCTTCAATGCCGGATTCTCTCCGAGTGGGCTATACCTTAGTTACTGAGTTCTGAACCTCGCACTAGTAGTAATCAGGGACAATTCATCGGCTTCTCGATGAGCTACTCTGAAAAGAAGAGCGCCTACTTCTGCCTCTCCATGGGTATTAACCATTTGCAGGAGAGAATCCGAACTCCTGATGATAATTTCACAGGCGTCGGCCAGAACAATTCTTTTATGGAGATACGTCAAGCTCAAAAGTCCACGGCCACCCTGTTCCATAGGTATGTTCAACCGTGGAACGGACGAGTTCATTATCATAATTACTATCAGTATCATTATCATTATTATTATTATTCTTATATTCCTTTACATCTACGAGATTATTGCCATTTATCAGGTGTATATAGAAGCACAAATTCCAGCTCATGTAACCTATACCAAATCTAGCGTCTTGAGAAGAGATTATACTTTGTAGCATCGACATACGATTCTAGAGGATGAGTCTTGTGAGACATCACCTGTGCAAAGTCCTTTGGGAATCATATGTCAGAGTTTCGTAATTCAGGAGATAGTTTGACCGCCGGGACATGGTGAACTGACGATTATCACCGCTCTTATCTATCAGGATGGAAATGCGACGGGATTATGGTGTGCTAACTATTGTGTATATGTTAGATTTTGCCTCTAGACGTTTCAGTATATTTTGATGAGTATGGGTTTCAGATGTAGATAATATGACAGCATCGTTGTCCTCTTGGATTGGGGGAAATCAGGAGAACTGTTGGTGTATTATAAGGAAGGAGTGATGAATGATATATGAGCTGTATACCGATAAAAAGCGATAGAAATTTGATTTGATGAAAGTTTTATTTGATAAGTAACTCATCTTCTTGGAATGCCTCAGTCCTGCCTATGGATTTAAAGATTACAAATTACAATTAAGAAGTATTTATTGATCGACGAGGAAAGTTATCATGGGAATTGCTGAGGAATAATGTCTAAGGTGATTGAGTCAATGTCCTGAATATATCCCTGTGATTGCTTAGTCGATATACAGACTGTCCCATTTTAGACAAAGTTAGAGATTTGCAGTTTTCACGAACGTTGGATATTTTCTTGTGAAACACACGATGCCACAAATGACATTTTCATAACCCTATTTGTTTTTGAGATACAGGGCTGACCTGAAAATGTCGCATTGTGGAACCCTCCTGTATCTTGGATTATTATTCGCTATTGTATGGAAAATTTGTAAATTCGACAGGTTGGTGACACGAATTTTAAAACATTCTACACTAATTGGTTTCATAGCCACCTACGAATTTGGTCAACAGCTCTCATAGTCACAACAAATAGTGTTAAATATTTATTAGTGAAGGTCTGAATTGGAAGAAACTCAGTCATCAACACAATAGTTCATAAAATGGACGAAAACGGTAGATAACGGGAGACAACACCGAATTTCGTGGCTATATGCCATGCACGCTGAACATCCTTCCAAAGTCTATGCAACGATTCGTTAAAACAGCTGCAAGTGATTCTTTCCTGACTACTGAGTTGAACTTGAATTGTTCAGGAACGCTTTGACTAGCTATAGACCGGTTTCGTGGTTTGAGCTCTCATCAGTGAGACTGGATGGCATTCATGACCGCCATCTTGTGCGAACCTGACCCAACGTAAACACATCCCAGCATTTAATACCCACGAGGCATTCGGCATCTGCGAGATGTACACGAACGCCACCTGAGTAAAAGGAGAGGAACACTTCTTTTGGTAAACTAGTATGTGACGAGACAGTGTGTGCGCAACAATAAGGTGAATATGAAAATTCGTGATATGGAAAATGTTGCCACATATACTATACATATATTTCGAGAAATATGCGAGATATTTCGTGAGGCAAAAATGGGACAGATTATACAGAGAATATTGTGAAAACCTTATCTTGATACAAAATACATAAATATCATTAATAGAACGTTCTTCGACTTAAGATTCAGATGGTAGAAGTAAACATTACTCTCATTGATTGACATAGTAACTCCAACATCAGGCAATCAGCAGAAACTTATAACCAAATACATATTCACATTTTTCATTAATTTAATCTATGTTTTGTCTGTCAGAAGTAAATACAGGCTTGTGTTGAGTACGAGTTTAGATGAATCGTTGCATTTTTTGTCACGGCTATGTATCGTGAAGTTTCTGTACGCCTATTTCTACGTTTCCATACTCAGCACTTTCTCAAAAGTCTCGAAACCCTGCATGAATTGGTAATGATGGCCTCGAACGATTCCGTAATTTTACTTACTGCGAAAACTTTTGCTTCGGCATGCAAAACTTTTCCGATTTCATCGATTTGCGAGGAATACTGCAGATTAGAGCTTTGGGAATGTTTCCATATAGTTCATTTCGCATGTTCAGTAGGGGGAATAGTCACGTAGAAAAGGGGCCGAAAATTCGTGAACTCTGCGCCGCAGTTGTAACGAATAAACGAGTTATACACTTCGGTTTTCTGAAATAATGATATAAGTTTGAGTTGTACAACGTTGACGACGTGTTTTGAAAGACAAATGTTCACTTTATGGAACGATATTATGGAAAATGAAATAATCCTACAACTCAATTTAGAAAAATATAGGACGTTCTAGAGCAAAATCAAAGATAATGTATATGAAAATACAAGTTTCATGAGGTATTGTATCATCGCATGTGTTCTTCTTCTTCTTCTTCTTCTTCTTCTTCTTCTTCTTCTTCTTCTTCTTCTTCTTCTTCTTCTTCTTCTTCTTCTTCTTCTTCTTCTTCTTCTTCTTCTTCTTCTTCTTCTTCTTCTTCTTCTTCTTCTTCTTCTCTGCACAGGTGGACGGGTGCGTAGACTACTGCACTCAGGCCTCTTCAGTCGGGCCCATTGTGCGCCCACTTGTCCTGTGAATCAGCTGGGCATACCGATTTCTTTGACGAAATTCAGCAGCTTCCTCAGCTGAGTCACTTTCACATCCTTTGGGTGCAGTACAATGCTCCCAAAGGCAGCTTTCCTCTGATGCACCAGCGCGGGGCATTCAGTGAGTATGTGTGATGATGTTTCATCATCCTCCAAGCACCATCTGCAGATGGGATCATCTTTGATCCCTATGAGTTCTAGATGCCTGTTGAGGTGGTTGTGCCCAGTTAAGAGCCCAACTACCATCTTGAGATCCCTTCTATTAAGTGACAGGATCTCTCTTGTGAGCCTTTTTGAAGGTTCCTTTATATGGAGCTTTGATTGTCTCATTCCTGGTGTGTCCCACCATGTTTCAAGGAACTGCCTCTGTAGCATTTCCTTCATGAAGGACATAGCCGTACTATTGGGTATTCCCAATATCGGTTCTGGTCCAATGGGTGTCGTTCCTGAACCGATCTTGGCTAGTCTGTCTGCCTCCTCGTTCCCCGGGATACCAGAGTGTCCTGGAACCCACATGAGGCTGACTTTCCTAGTTTTTGCCATATTTTCTAAGGCACTTCTACACTCGGACACCAATTTAGTTGTGATCCTATTGGATCTCAATGCCATAATAGCAGCTTTACTGTCCGAGCATATGGTGACTGGTCCACGTCCACTTCTGCCGAAATTTTCTTGGACACGCGTCAGAATTGCAAACACTTCGGCATCGCATGTGTTATTTGAAGAAGAATAAGTGAAGAAAACCATCCTTTCCTCTCGAAGTGGTCCAAATTTCGCGAAGAAACATACAAAAAACCCAAAGTCGGTCGTCCACCAAAATTTTTAATCACATAAGTAGTGTAATTCTATTTACATAATACAATTAAGGCAATTTGTTAATCAAGATTACTTCCTCCTTTTAGTTAATTCTCAAAAAGTTTGTCTGTTCGATTTGGATTTCCAATGTTCAATTGATGTCAATTTCAAAATGTCAATCTGCCAATTATTTGTCATGGTCATGTGTATCTGCTTCTGGTGCTTGCTAAGCTTGCTTTGACTTATGGCATGGCCGTCAGCCTGCTGATGTGACAATCTCAATTAAAGTTTTAGGGGTAATTTCAATTTATCATTCCTTTGATTCTTCCTCTGATCTTTTACCAGATTTTGGTAAGTTATTTGTGCTTGTCCTGTCGTTACAAATTGTGATATGTTGCATTAGGACTGCTTTCTCCGGCTGACAATCCACCTGCCTTTCTAATGTTGACCTATTTGCTGCACATGGTAAGATTACTTTCATCAGTAGCGATTGTAGGAGCTTTCATGGTTTTTTCCTTACAGGTTTCCTTACGGCCAAGTATCGAAACTAATAATAATAATAATAAATGTTCTTTATTGGTTAAAACCAAATGGCCATCGACCGAGGTCCTTCAGCCAAATCGAAACTATTAAACACTGCTTATGTAGTTAAATATTTTTGTGGTCGACCGACTTTGGGTTTTTTGGATTCTTCTGTGAAGAAGATAAATGTGATAGTTCAGTACTTTGAAACAATTCTCAAATACTATTCAAGAAGTATGATGTGTAAAAAAGTATATTCGATAGATAAACCTCCTTTATGAGGAAAGCCACAACCCAAATTTCAATAACTTAACATTCATCGACTGTTCCACTCATAGGCACAAAAAATTGAAAACATGCGGATGATAATGCACTGCTTCTTCTTGAGATCATTCCTCTCCTCAGTGTTGTTGGCCTCTTTCATTCAGCTCATGTTACAGATAAGGTACCCACTGGTATTTTTCGGGACTCCTCCAAGGAAACACTGGGAATAAATAAATATGAAATTCCTGAGTGCCAATTATAGAACATGTTATTTTATATAATATCGTCTCACACAAAAACAATGCTTTTATCATCATCACTATGTATGTTTTAGAGAACATTTTGTGTAGTAATAGAAACTGTTAACTATCTCCATTTTCAACTTAGTTTCATTATGACTTCGTTGAAGAAGATAGAAAGACGTTATTCTAATCGATCCGCATTATTTTTCTCCAAACTGACATATTAATAATCTATGATAGAAGTCCATAATCAGTCATATTCTCGTGGATGACCAGGTGGTTGTGCCCTCCGTAAAGCCCTTCTTTTGGCTGTCGGCACTTTTTGCCCTCAATACTTTTCACTCATATTCGTATTTTTAATATTATAACATTGCTGTTGTTTTTTTTCACTTCCACATAAGATATTTGATAGTCTTCCTTCAAAAACTTTTCTTTGTAGGAAATTCTGCTGATGATGGGCTGACGAAAGTCTGAAACATGTTCAGATAATTCTGATAATAATGTATGTTTCAAGATGACTTAGAGTGTCTTGTTCCTGAACATATATATATCTATACCATTCGTTTCTTAAAAGATTTGCTATGATTTCTTGCACTATGAAAATGCCTCTCGAGTGGAAACGTTCCTAAAAGTGGGTCGCGTGTGCAAGTCAACTGATCTGGAAGTAAAATAAAGTCGGAGAACTGAATTTTAATAACCGAAATGGCTATTGTATCTGGAGACGGAGTGAAGGAGTTTTCGCTTTAAACTCACGGTTGAATGATCCCGAAAGTATATCT